CAGGCTCCACGACCACTTTGTGCGCTCGCCGCCGCCGTCCGGCCCCTCCGCTGCTGGAGGTTGACTGTCAAAAGTCGGTCGGAGCGGAGCCACAGGGAAACAGCTGCAGGAAGTGACTGCGGAACCGGGAGGCGGCGGAGGCGGAGGCTGGGCTCCCGGCGGCGCCACTGCGCATGTGCATGGGCAGCGGCCGCTCCTGCAAACCCGGGACGCGGGGCAGGTGCGGGACGGCAATGAGAGAGGGTACACTAGCCAGGCACACATGGCTCCGCGGGGCTGCCTCAGCCTACCCTGAAAACGGTGCGGACAGAAGCCTGGCACAACCTAGTAGGAGGGCGTAAATTCTCATCTGGGACCTCGAAACACATTCCCTGCGCCTCCGCCCAGGGATGTAGGGAAGCAGTGCGGTCCAGGCCTCACAGGGCTGCAGAACCCGCACTGAGGACCTGCGCTCACCTGCACGAGGCGGCGGCGAGAGACCGAGGACACTTCCTCCTGACCCTTGCAGCCTCACCTGCAGGACCTCACAGACCTCAGAAGCCTCCAGGACATCAAGAGAGACGCTAAGTTGGATTGCAGCCCCTAGGTTCTGTTCTGCTGGCACAAGACCTTCTAATTCTGCGTGTGATTGCTTGTATGGTGGCTGGGTTTTTCTCCTTGGACAACATGACACAAATTTTCCATTTACCATCTCCGGCACAGTATGGTTTCGCAGCATCAAGTTCTTTCACATTGTGTGCGGTTATTGTGTAATCATAAACTAAAATGAGGTATGAGTATGGTAAGATGTGCTCTAGTAGCAAGCAGACTCATGCAGGAAATTAAGGCTCTGCAACTGGAGCATGCACCATCCAGTACCAACAACAACCCAGTACTGACTTTGAATATTGAGGACTGTTCAGCAGACACACGAGGCTAGAATGCACCAGCCATTGGGGAAAGTAATCCACCATCCAGATGTATTTTGTGCATGAAAAGTATATGTGAAAATTAGAAATGCATTTCCAATAAGGCCTCAGTCAGTCTCAGAACTTGCCATTCACACTTGTTAGCTGGGATCATGCCTGGGCCCTGGCCGACCTTTCTCATCAGACAGCCCTAATCCTCATTTCCAATCACAGCGTATAGTAGTTACATGCCATGTCTTATGGTAAAATGGCTAACAAAGGCAACTGAAGAAAAGGAAGGTTAGTTTTGGCTCACAGCTTGAGGGTGCAGTCCATCACAGCAGGGAAGGCATGAGGGCAAGAGAGGGGCAAGCTGGTCATCCATGCCCACAGCCAGAAGAAGCTGCTGAGCTACCTTGAAGCTGTTCTGGATGCAGAACTCAGGGAAGTGCAACGGTGCTCTGAGATGTTGGATCATCTGGGCCATCTGCTCCCATCAGAGATTTTTCAGGGGGCCTTCCTTGGTCAAACTTGATTTTTCTTAACCCAGAATGAATCTGGAGCCTCTCATTTCCTGTGGAAATAAAGGCAGAACCTCTTTCCCCAAGTATCATATTTTTGACTTACACGTTGAAGCCAATATTTTTAAAATATATGGGTTGGATTCATCCAGCTACATTTATGATCAAATGTCTCTTAGCAGCTGTTGCTCCTTCCTCAGCAGTCAAACAATTCAAAGACAACACAGCATACTATATCCCTACTCTGTGTATTTTCCATCTTCATGTGACTTTTTCATACATTACTTTACTCCCCTTTTAAGGACTCTATTATTTTAAAACTATTTCTTTTTTATGTCTATCTAAACCTTCTCTTTTCTCTCTCAAGCCTATGCATATTTTTAAACACTGTAAGCTATTTAGAGGTGTGTGTGTGTGTGTGTGTGTGTGTGTGTGTGTGTGTGTGTTTTGTCTGAATTTGTCTTTACTGTATATCTCTATCTTTTTCTGACCACATGAGTCTTTAAACTACTAAGCTGCATTCCTAGGACCAAAGTGCCAGCTTTGGTGGCTCACTCCACCCTCTCCTTGGTATGTGAGAACTTAGCTTCATGGCAGGGGAGGAGAGAGCCACATTTACTGCCCCAGTTTAGGAATCTTCTAGGTCCATGCTGCCACCTTGCAGCAAGCCGCCTACTGCTCACAAACCCCATTCAAGTGTTTGGTAGCAGGGTCTCTCAAAAGAGCCATGCCATTTTTGCCTCTAGCATTGAGCCAGGAAGTCAGCTCTTAAAAGAGCTGTGCTCTGCTCACCCAAAAACAGAGCCTACCAAGAAAAGGCAGTTACCAAGAAGCTGTGCTTGAATCTATTTTTGTGTTTAGAATCCTTTTTTTTTCTAAAGTTTTCTCAGGTTTTATGTGGAAATTCTTGTCCCACATTGGGCACCATATGTATACAGACATTTCCTGTCCTGCTCCCAGTTTCCAAATAACCACCCAAGAGGCTGAATATGAATTATAAATGCTCAGCCAATAGCTCAGGCTTATCTCTAACTAGCTCTTACAACCTAATTCTATTAATCTATGTGCTGCCCTGAGGCTCATGGCTTTTACCTCTATCCCATTTTGTGTGTCCAACTTATTCTGCATCTGGCTAGTGACTCCAGACTCTGCCCTTCCCTTTCCATCATCCTTAGTTTGGTCACCCGCCTATATTTCCTGCCTAGCTATTAACCAATCAGTATTTTACTATACCAGTTCAAGTGACATATCTTTACAGTGTACAAGAGGATTATTCAACAGAAAAAAAAAAAAGGCTCTCACCAACACACCCTCTAGTGTCGACCATGAAGATTCAACATAAAAGTACAAGAATTGTAGCCAGGCATGGTGCCACACACCTTTAATCCCAGCACTTAGGAGGCAAAGGTAGGTGGATCTCTGTGAGTTTAAGGCTGACCTGGTCAACATAGTGAGTTCCAAAACAGGTCTAAGTAGAGAGGTCCTGTCTCAGATACATACATACATACATACATACATACATACATACATACATACATGCATACATACATAAGAAGAAACGTAGAAGTCAGGACTGGGATATGGCTCAGGGAGTAAAGTGCCTATTGTACAAGCCCCAGCACCTACAAAAAAAAAATTAAGCCTAGTTGGTCATGCTTGTTATCCCTAAACTAGAGAGTTAGAGATGGGCAGATCCTGGAGCTCTCTAGTCATTCGGCCTAACTGGATCAATGAACCCTAGTCCCAGTGAGAAACTCTTTTTCAAAGCACAAGGTGAACAATGGCTGAGGAACGTTACCTTGAGGGTTGACTTCTGGTCTCCACATTCATTTGCATCCATATACAAGAAATGCATAGGGCATGGAAATACTATTTATGGTGCCTAGATAGTACTCTTCCAGAGAACCCAGATTCGATTCCCAACACCTACTCGGCAGCTGAGAACTATCTATAACACCATTTCCAAGGGATCTAACATGTTCTTCTGGCCTCTGTGAAGCACCTGACACACATATGCATGGTGCATAGGCATACATGTAGACAAAACACCCAAACACACAAAATAATAATTTTTAATTTTTTTAAGAAATGCTATGTACAGACATATACTCAGAAAAATCCAAAATTGTGGGACAATGTAGAGTTTCTTTCTCATCTGGTCTTGCTGCCATTTAGCACCAAATAACACACAGAGACTTATATTATTTATAAACTGTTTGGCCGATGGCTCAAGCTTCTTATTGACTAGCTCTCTCTTAATTATTAACCCATTTCTATTAAACTATGTATCTCCATGTGAAAGACCCCCGAAGAGGTACTTTCGTAGAAGGAGACCCGCACCCAGGAATCAGCGAGACCACGAACTTGGATGCAAAAGCAAGAGGCTTTATTGGAGATACGGGTACCCGGGCGACTTAGCTTCTGTGTGGCTAAGCGCGCCGAGCCAAGGGAAAGGGGTCCTTATATAGGGAAAAAGGCGCAAGCTAGAAACAGGGATTCTATTGGATAATTCTAATGAGGCATTGTACAGAGCTATTCCCATTGGTCAATGTAAATGAGGCGCTATACAGGGTTATTCAAATGAGGCGAAGTATAGAGTCATTCAAATGAGGTGAAACACAGAGTCTTTCAAATGAGGTGAAATACAGAATCATTTCTATTGAATGGTTCAAATGAGACACAGAGCCATTCCAGATCAGCATATTCTCAAGGTCTGG